TCGAGGAGTTTGAGAAGCTCATGAACCTGTTGGAGCTAGAGGAGTCCGAGGAGGCCCTAATGGCGCAGTTCATTGAGGGTTACAAGAGCGTATTGCTCGGAAGGTCGAGAGAACTCAATACAGCGGCATGCACGAGCTCTTGCATCTCTCGGTGCAAATAGAGCAACAGATCAAGCGCAAGACCAGCCTGAATAACCGTAGCCGAGCTCCCCCACCTTGGACCGCTAGTAGTTCTAAACCGGTGGATAAAGGGAAAGCCGTGGAGGTTGATTCCCGCTTTAAGAGCAAAACCACGGAACCCCCTAAAACCACTCGTCCAGAGCCTAGTAAGTACCCTAACACCTCGAGAACTCGAGAGATCATATGTTTTAAGTGTCAGCGACGTGGCCATATGTCTCGGGAGTGCCCCAACCAACGCGTTATGATCGTGACCCCGAGTGGAGATTATGAATCCCAAGACGAGAGCGATGATGAGCCAATGGAGTTAGATGGAGAAGTAGACTATCCTGACACGGGAGAGATACTTGTAACAAGGAGAGTCCTTAGTGCTCTAGTGGTACCAGAAGAGAAGGTGCAGCGTGAAAACATCTTCCATACCCGGTGCACCATCCGTAGCAAGGTATGTAATCTCATAATAGATGGCGGGTCATGTACTAATGTTGCTTCAAAGTATATGGTGGATAAGCTAGGTTTGGAAAAGACTAAGCACCCAAAGCCTTACAAGCTGAGATGGCTAAATAATCAAGCCGAGCTAAGGATTGTCGAGCAAGTTACCATCCCATTCAGTGTTGGCTCGTACCATGACGAAGTGACGTGTGACGTCGTACTAATGCAAGCCGGGCACCTTCTGCTGGGAAGGCCGTGGCAGTTTGATCGGTCTACAGGCCATAACGGGAGGACTAACTACTACTCCTTCACGTTCAAAGACCGAAAGCATAACCTAGCTCCTTTAAAGCCAAGTGAGGTACATGAAATGCAAAGCCATATGGCTAAGGAGAGCGAGGTAAGTAAAACTAATCTTTTTATTAAGACTAATGATGTTTGTAAAACCACGAGTGCCCGCGGCACCATGCTACTAATGGTTTTCAAAGAGTGTTTGAGTACAGATATCACGGCAATGGCCTGGCCAAATGAGTTACAAGACATTCTAGAAAGGTTTAAGGATGTGTTTCCCGATGAGATACCAGCCGGGCTGCCTCTTGTGAGGGGAATAGAACATCAGATTGATCTCGTACCCGGCTCAGCGTTACCCAACAAAGCAGCGTACCGTATGAACCCTGAGGAGACGAAAGAACTTGAGAAGCAAGTCAAAGAGCTAATGGATAAGGGTTACATCCGTGAGAGCCTCAGCCCATGTGTCGTACCGGTCCTGTTGGTACCTAAGAAGGACGAGACGTGGCGCATGTGTGTAGACTGCCGTGCCATCAACAATATCACCATCAAATACCATCACCCCATCCCACGTTTAGACGACATGCTAGATGAGTTAAGCGGTGCAACAATGTTTTCAAAGGTGGACTTACAGAGTGGCTATCATCAAGTGCGAATGATAGAAGGCGATGAATGGAAAACCGCTTTCAAAACTAAGCAGGGGCTGTACGAGTGGTTAGTCATGCCTTTCGGTTTAACCAACGCTCCTAACACCTTCATGAGCCTCATGAACCAGGTTTTAAGATCATTCATTGGTAGATTCGTAGTAGTTTACTTTGATGACATACTGATATATAGCAAGAGCCTCACGGATCATATCATGCATTTAGAGCTTGTTTTAAAAACACTTCGAAAGGAAGGTCTATATGCCAACCTTAAGACGTTCTCCGTTTGTACTGATAAACTTGTGTTCTTAGGCTTTGTAGTAAGTGAACAGGGTTTACAAGTAGACGATGAGAAGATAAAAGCTATTCAAGAATGGCCTACACCCTCCACCATCAGCCACGTGAGGAGCTTTCATGGTTTAGCATCATTCTACCGCCGGTTTGTCAAAGACTTTAGCACCGTAGCTGCCCCACTTACCGCTGTTATAAAAAAGAACATACCATTCTCATGGGGAGAGCCACAAGAAGCTGCATTCAATGACCTTAAGGAGCGATTGACCCGAGCCCCCGTACTAGCCTTACCTGACTTTGAGGTTATGTTCGAGGTCGAGTGTGATGCATCTGGAGTTGGCATAGGAGCGGTACTACATCAGAAAGGGAGGCCCGTGGCATTCTTCAGTGAAAAGCTAAGTGGAGCCACGCTCAACTACCCCACGTATGACAAAGAGTTGTATGCTCTAGTCCGAGCTCTAGAGACATGGCAACACTACCTACTCTCAAAGGAGTCTGTCATTCATACTGACCACGAGACGTTGAAGCACTTGAGAGGGCAGACATCATTGAGGAGAAGACACATGAAGTGGTTAGAATTCATTGAGACGTTTCCATGCGTCATCAAATACAAGAGAGGCAAGGAGAACATAGTAGCCGATGTACTTTCCAGGAGACATGCACTGATATTAACAATGGAGGCCAAGGTTCTCAGATTTGAGCATATCAAAGACTTGTATGGAGAAGACCCTGATTTCAGCGAGAGCTACAAAGAGTGTATCAAAGGGCCTCACAGAGCATTCTACATCCACGATGGATTCTTATTCCGAGACAAGCGATTGTGTATTCCCCAAGGATCAATGAGGGAGTTACTCCTAAGGGAAGTACATAGTGGCGGCCTCATGGGATATTTTGGTGTGGACAAGATGCTAGCCGTGATGATGGATCATTTCTTTTGGCCACACTTGAAGAAAGATGTAGAGAAGACGTGTTGTCGATGTGTTACATACCGTAAAGCCAAGTCCAGGTCCCATCCCTACGGTCTTTACACTCCTTTACCTACGCCCCTTGGGTAGATATTTATATGGATTTTGTCCTAGTTTTACTGAAGATTAGGCACAAGGACTCGATCTTTGTAGTGGTAGACAGGTTTTCCAAGAGGGCTCATTTCATACCATGCGCCAAGACAAACGATGCCATTCAAACCGCTGATCTCTTCTTCAAAGAAGTGGTGTGTTTACATAGAGTTCCCCGTACCATTGTCTCTGATAGAGACAAAAAGTTTCTCAGCCATTTCTGGAAGACATTATGGAGAAAGATGGATACTAAACTACTCTTCTCAACCACTTGTCACCCCCAAACCGATGGCCAAACCGATGCGGTAAACTGTAAACTCTCTACTTTACTTAGAGCTACTCTTGGCAAGAATATGAAAACTTGGTTAGATTGTATTCCCTTTATAGAATTTGCTTATAACCATGCTACTCACTCTGCCTCTAAGTTGTCACTTTTTGAGGTTATGTACGGGAAAAACCCTTTGACGCCTATGGATCTTACACCACTTCCACAAGCTGAACAAGTCAGCTTAGAAGGGCTTAGCCGAGGCGAGTATGTTAAGAAGATACATCAGCGAGCTCGGGACAACATTGCTAAGAAGACCGAGGAGTATAAGAGAAACAAAGATAAAGGGAGGAAAGAGATGGTGTTTCAACCCGAAGAGTAGGTTTGGCTAAATATGAGACCGGAGCATTTCCCCCATAAGCAGAGTTCCAAGCTAGCACCAAGAGGCGACGGCCCATTCCAGATCAAAGAGAAGCTCAATGACAACGCCTATACGCTAGAATTACCAGGTGAGTTTAATATGTCTCATAGTTTCAATGTTGCTGATCTATCTCCTTTTGATGTAGGTGAAACGGTTTTGAGGACAAAACCTTGTCAAGAGGGAGGGAATGGTGCAAGCACAGTACCAGAAGAAGACCAACATGACGTATCTACGGTGAGAGAAGGACCAATGACACGTTCAAAGGAGAAAGCCTTAAGGGACAAGTTTAACTTAGCCGTGGAACAGATCATGCACACACGTACCGCGGTCGAGGACATTACGAGGATGGACGAGAACATTACGAGCTGGTACGATGACATTACGGGACGGGACGGGATGATGACGTGACGATCCAACCTTGTACCATTGTCGAAGGCATTACCACGTGGGATGACCACATTACCACGCGGGAGGACGACATTACGGGACGACTGACCGGCCAAGACAACGACTCAATGGGCCAGGTTTTAGACGATTTTCAAGACATTCAAGACCCACCAAAGCTCAAGATAGACCCAAGCCCCAGTGAATGACCCTTTCTCAAACGCGTGACCGGCCCAAACTTGTTCATCATTGATCCACTCCAAAACGGCGGCATGTAGATGATTGATGATCAAGGACGATTTACCATTTTCACACCAAGAGATCAAGAGGCAACGGTAAGCTTGTCAATTAAATCAATATATTCGTGTTTTCCTTTCTTTTGCAGGAAATATACACTAGTTTCTTTTATTACTTTTCCCATTTAAGCCGATGTAATTTTAAATTTATTTTCTTGTATTTTTGGTTTTATTTTTAGACCCTAGAAGGTCAAGGTCGAAGAACTATTAATAAAGCTCCACTGCGACATTGTAGTTTACAACTTTTTACCCCATATCAATAAAATCGGCAGTTCTTCTTTAAGTTAAAGTCTTGAATCTTTGCTTGTTCCTTTACGTGTGTGATTCACCAAAGTTACAAGTGTTTGCTTTGTCAGAGATCATTCCATATTCTATGTGGTGCCATCGATCCCCCAACACTCATCATTCATTGAATCAACGTGAGAGAGTCTAAGGTCAGCACGTTCATTCTAATCCCATAAGATCCGGTCATCCGAGTCTTATACCATTCTCTCTTTTGCTTCTCCAGTCAAAACATTGCACCATCATTTCGATTGTTGTTCCTACTACCATATAAGATAGTTTTGATGCCGGACATCCTCTCCTTCTGCCGCCAAAAGGAAGGTACTTCATTTCTTTTTCTTTTCTGTCCTCTTCTTGCTCTGATCTTAAAGGAGTGAGAAATCTCTCTGGCTTGAACTCAAGAGGGTTTTCCCAGAAATTTGGATCTCTCATCACAGAATAACGGTTAACAATAAGGTTCGTCTTTTCTGGTTAAAAGAACCCTCCTATATTAAATCCTTCTTGAAACTCCCTTGGTATGAAAGCTACTGGGGGATGTAATCTTAGTGCTTCCTTGATGACAGCTTGCAAGTAAGGGAGGTTAGGTCGATCCGTTTCTTGAATAAACCTTGAGCTCCCTACAACTGAATCAATTTCCTCTCTCAATCGCGCATTAATAATAGGGTTGTCAATGATCTCGGCCATTGTCCACTGTATTGTGTTCGTCCAGATATCAAGTCCTCCAAAGAAAAGTTCCTGCAGTTGAACAAAATCTTTCATTTAACTTTATTTTGTATGAAAACGTGGAATATTGATAGAAGGTCGTATGGATTCTCAAAAAATCATGTTATGTTATTGGACACTTACCACAAAAAACGCCTTGATGTGGTTCCTAGTTATTTTATAGTCTGCGTTTTCGTCTTTATAAACTGCCAACAAGACGTCCATCATATCCATACATTCATCCGTCTTTGGTTCCTTTTCGTGTTCCACAAGAATCCTCTCTAGCATCTTGTCGAATTTTTGGGAAACACCCAATATATCCTTCTTGAATAGAGAAATTCCAAGCAACTCGAGTAGTTTAGAAACAAGACTGCTAAGAACATCATCTTCTCCGACCCCTCTGACTTGGTAACCAAACGTCGGACACTCTCTGCCTCACCGTTCACTTCTGTAAAACTCCTTCCCATGCTCATCTTGCAAATAGTGTTGACCACAAGCTTCTTCGCTTCCTTAGTAATCTCAAAGCCCTCCTTCTTCCTCGCCTTATCAAGCAGTTTCCGTAGAACCTATGTAGCTCATTTGCGCGAATGCTTCGTGTCTGTTCTTGTGCTTGGGGTCCAAACATCTTTGTAAGAATGAGTTTCTTCATGAACTTATAGTATTCTCCATAAGGTGCAGTAACAAATCCTGAAGTACCGAAGAGGAGAGACCCCTCGCTCGCAGGGACGTTGCGAGATGAAATGTTCACGTCATGGATCCTGAAGATCTCGTATGCTAGAGGGGCTGAAGAGAGGAGGATGATGGGAAAGTGAAAAAATCGGAAATAGAGGAGAGAGCATATTTGGAGGAGAGTGTATGTACAGACTTGTGGAGTAATAAAGTTAGGTAAAGAATAGAATACTTTTGAGGTAAGTAATAGAGGAGAAGGTGAAGATGACCGATGATTGGAAGAGAAGGAGGGCTTGAAGGCAATTTAATTCCATACGTTGGTTTTCTGAAGAAAAGAGAAAAACAGACGAATGCGAATTTGAAGAAACATAAAAGGATTAAGATTATAAAATATCGAACGTGAAAAGTGATCATTGCTGTCATTGTTGTTCAAAGTGAAGAGACTGTTAGAATTTCAGCAGATATCGAAGAAGATAAATAATAGGCGAGGTTAGAACGAAGAAGAAAAAGCACGTAAGTAACATGTGCGCCTGACTTAAAAGTGTTTAAGTGTTGACAAAAGAAACACACTTCACAAGTAAGAGAGGTAATGACTCTATTGGATAACTTAACAAACAGTAGTTAGTTAACTTAAGAAAGAGTCTTCATCCCCCATGGTGACATTGACAACTAGGGTTCCACATGGGATTTTTAAGATTTGTAGAGCATGGAGCGAAAATAAGTATGTACTTATTGCAGAATCTTCTAATATAGAAATGTGCATGTGAAATACACATGTTATATCAAATTTTCTAATATAGAAATGTGCATGTGAAATACACATGTTATATCAAATTTAATATGTAGAAATGTCGAAGTTTTACTATTAACAGAAGAAACGCACTTAACTAGTAAGAAAAGGGATTGACTCCAGATTCTAGTTAAATAACTTAACAAAGCGTCTTCAACAACCACGATGACAACTAAGGTTCCACATGGATGTTAATATCCCTTGAGCATGGAACCGAAATAAGAAGCTACTTGTGGCACAATCTTGTAATGCACGACATAAATGTGTTAGTGAAATAATTAAGCACTGCTGAGAAGGGATTGACTGTAATTGATAACTTAATGAAACACTAATTAATGAACTTAACAAAGAATCTCCATTCACCATGATGACAACTAGGATTCCACATGGGATTTTATGATTTTTAGTGCATGAGACGAAACTAAGCATGTACTTATTGCAGAATCTTGTAATATATAAATGTGCAAGTGAAATATACAGATATTATATCAAAATAAATATGTAGAAATGTCTAAATTTGACCTGTGCAATCTGGATATCGGTTCGGTTTCGATTCGATTTTCTTGATTTTGAGTTTTTCAATTAATAAACATAGTTACTATTTTAAAGCCATGTCTTCTACTTTGGTTTGGTTTTGATACCATCGGTGTTTAGTTTATCCGGTTTATAATTAGAAACCAAAAGTTTTATTTGGTATAAAAGATTTCAGTTTTTAACAGAAAATTATAAATGATAATCAATACAACAATAACACAAGTGTCTCTGATGATGATACATTAGTTTTTTGAAGCTTTATAAACATGACACCTCAGCAAAAATAATCACTAATCAAAATATTTTATTAATACAACTCATCTTTTTATTTTAATTTTTAAATTTAAACCATTAAAAATTCAAACATTTATTTGTTAAATCTTTGTTTTATTTTTTACCAAATCCAAGCCCAAATAATTAATAACAGCAGAAAAAAAATTATTTTATTTTTTGGCAAACCCAAGCACAAATAATAAATTAAAAAATTTAAAATTAAATCTATAATTTATTCTCTACCAAATTCAAACTCAAATAATAAATAACAGCAAATAAATAAGAAAAAAAAATTATAGCTATCTGTTTGTTTGACAGAGAAGTATATGATTGAAAAAAGTGTACACTCAGCATCAACTATGCTTTCATAACAACAACACAAAAAGTCTTATATTATAAGAAGCTCACAAATCAGCAAAAAATTGAACCAATAAAAACATAACAATAATACATATCATCAACACCATAATAAAATCAGTTTACATTTTTGCTGATCAATTAAAAAGCCCAAAGTTTACAAAAAAATGGAAGTCGAAGGCAAAGGAGGAGAAGCTCAGACCACCACAGCTTGAAGATTCGTATTTCTCGTGGTTACCAAGAACAAATCAAAAACTTTTCGATTGTTCTCCGACGATAAGCCTCACATGAGAACTTTCCATCTCTCATGGTTTCAATTATTCTGCTGTTTTGTCTCTACTTTCGCAGTTTCGTAGCTCAGGATTTCTCCCAGTCATTTATGAAAACCTCAATCTCGGTGTCATTGACATCGGAAACACCGGAATTGCCTTTGTTTTCGGCTCGGTCTTCACTCAGTTTCTCGGATTGGACATGAAAGCAAAATTTCATGGTTTGAATAGGAAAACATATTTTTTTGGGAAAATGAGTTATTGGTTTTGACGGAAAATTGTGATTTCTCAGATTTGGCGGGAAAATATGAATTTTGGATTTGATGAGAAAACAAAAAAATTTAGATTTTGACGGAAAAAAATAACTTAGTTTTGATGGAAAAATGAGATTTTTTTTGGTTTTGATAGGAAATGCAACTTTTCAATTTTGACGAACAATGCGATTTCTTAGTTTTGACAGGAAATGCAAATTTTTGGTTTTTGTTGGATAATGCGGTTTCTTGGTTTTTACGCGAAAATATGATTTCTTAGTTTTCGCGAGAAATTGCAATTTGACGAGTTTGGCAGAAAATGTAATTTTTGGGTTCGATGAGAAAACAAAATTTCTCGGTTTTGGCGGAAATAAAAAATTTATCGATTTAGATGGGAATGCAAATTGTCAGTTTTTGACGAATAATGTGATTTTTTGCTACTCGTGGGAAGATGCAATTTCTTAGTTTCACGGGAACACAGTTTCTCGAGAGATAATGAAATTTTTGGTTTTCGCGTGAAATTGTAGTTTATCTGTTTTGGTAGGAAAGCGTGATTCTTGGGTTGACGAGAAAATAATTTTTTTGGTTTTGGTGCGAATAGACAATTTTCAGTTTTCGCAGGAAAATATTTTTTTATTTTTTTTGACGGGAAAATACGATTTTTTGGTTTTTGCAGAAAATAATTTTTTTGTTTTGGTGAAAAAGGTGTTTCTCGGCTTTGGCGGGAAAGCACAGGTTCTCGTGGGAAAATAATTTTTTTTGGTTTTGGAGGAAATAAGCGATTTTTCAGTTTAATGCGAAAATGATGTTTTTTTGTTTTGATGAAAAATGCGATTTCTCGGTTTTCGTAAGAAGATGAAATTTCTCTGTATTAAATTTCCAAGTTAAAATATGTTTACAATAACCAAAATTTAATTAATTAACTTCTACTAAAACGATATTTCAACAGTTCAAACAGAATTTTCTATTTAGTTCTAAAGCAATAGCAATGGTTTTGATATGAATGTTATTGATTATAATTTGGTTGTTTTAGACATATATGTTTATAATAAATATTTGATAAATAAATAAATTTTATAATTGAAGATAATCAAATTAATTAATAAATCTTTCTTTAAAATGATATTTTGCTTTATAATTACAAAGCATGATCAAATGCCAATTTATTGGAAAACATAGATTACATGAATGTATTAAAAAATGTATTATTTTATTATTACATATATATTTATAATTAGTTAGATAAACAAATTTAATAGCAAATTAAAATTTAAAAAATAAAAAATTAAAGGTATACAATGTTTATTCAGATTTAAAACATATAAATACAGAACTTAAACTAATAAACAAATAAATATAATACTCATTTACATTATAAAAATAATTTTATTATATTAAAATTATAAACAAAATTTAGAAAAATATCCCGCAGCATAGTACGGGTAAATACCTAGTCAATACAAAAATATAGGAAATAGAAAAATTACAAAGCTGATGTCTTATTTTAAAAGAAAACTAATAACAAAAAAAAATTAAATACTAACAAAAGCATTAAAACATTTTATTGGAGTAACTTAGAAAGTAAAATATGTATTTAGCACATGGCTGTAAAGCCCGTAAATCTTATAAATACCAAATGAAAAGATTTGAAAAGCAAAATGTTATTTCTATTATATTCTTATTATTACTATATTATGTGTTAGATTTTGATTAGTAAGATATATATTATATGGTGTTAACAATATGTGAATTGTTAATCACTATATATATGAATCTTAGTATCTTCTATCATAAATACAAAATTATTCAATAATAAATTTATATTCTATCATATAAAATACCATGAACCTTCGATTATTGTGAATTAAAGGTGAATATCTGCTTTACAAGTTCTTAGGTTTTACGATGATCACTAGTGTTGAAAATGATGAGAGAAGTGATGAAGATGAAGATGATGAAGCCAATATAATGTTTTAATTTCTTTTATAAAAAGGAAACAAATTTTGGTTTCAAAAATATAATTTAAGCTTTGATTTCGTTTATATTTTGTGTTAATTTAAGAATAACTGAGAGTTTTTTAATGGAATATTTTGTTTTCTAAGGGTTTAGGAGTTTTATAAATTAGTTTTATTTTATGAGATTAAT